CCCCAATGCTCATTTATTCGAGTATATGATTACTGGGGGTTAATTTTACCGAAAGTCGATCTCAACCCCTAAAACATGTAAAATTACCTTGAACACCTTAGTTTAGGTCCAAATATAGCTGTAACAAATTATCAGGTCCCTGTGCTAACAAGCATATGTCCTTCAATTCAAAAGTGGCACTTATATTTTCCATATTAATATGTCCTAGTAGTAGCCATGGTGATATATCCTGCAGTATTACATAGTACTGCTCCAGATGTAGGTCCTGCAGTGCCATTGGTATATGTTCTACTGTACCGCTAGCCACATTAGATAGGTATTTGAATATCAGTGAAACATGCAACTTAAACAATTGAAGTATGTCCCAGCATGAAGCCGTCAACACCCGAAGCACTGCAAGTTACCTGCAAGTTGATGCTGTTCGACGGCCCTTTGCAGTATCGCCGTAATTGTAAATGTAAATGTAAATGCACTATGCGCTAAAGTGGAAGTGAAATCTGAAAAAAGGCAAGCGCTTCCGCTACCACAAGTGGCACCCGTCCCGTTACATCCAAGGTCATTTACTGACTAGTGGTATGGTACAAAGTAGGTGTATAGTGTATCTCATGTCAATGATTATAAACTGGCACTGTTTAACATAATGCAGAACCGTTCATATACTGATGTACAGTCGTTAATCAATAAGGAGTGTTCTTTCAAAGATGGCGGCCGTAACAGATAGCAGAAGGTATTTGTCCATTTCAGACCTGAAAACTGTTGTTTCTAAACATGATCTGAGCACGGCATGTAGCAACGTGAATCGGAAAAATGTGCAAAAAATCTCATTTCGCCCTCAGTTACCATCAAATACTTCTAAAAGTACTTGCAAACCAATCACAAGGCTGGCCAAAGCATTGGTTTTACCAGCGAGGCGTGAAACGCCGTTTAAATATGGTCTTTTCTTATTATATGGTTACTTTTGTAAGATTTCCTTCATAAGTCTAGACCCCTAATGAGATAAGTGTACAACATATGGGCTATTTATATTTAAAACCCCATAAAATTAGAGAAAGACAAACGACCGTTTTGTACATGTCAAGAATTGGTCTCTTTAAGAAATTTTGATGGGATTTGCAATCCAGTGTTTTATTCAAGGAATGGTCTTCAAAGATTTGGCTAAGTTGAAATGTATGCAGTGCCTGAAAAGTTTCACAATAAGTATTTATAAATGTGTATTATCTTTATAGATACATGTACTGGTGAGAAGAACTAGAAATTAAGGATACTACCACATCTGCCAACTTGGCCTTTTTGTCTTGATTAACTTCTAAAACATGACAACAATAAACATATTCCAACTAGACTTTATGACAAACGTGATTATTTTGGGTTTTCCAATTCGTTAGCTTTCTGTTTCTCAACAGTAACGTTCAGTCATATATGATAGTGATGTAAAAATATAAAATTTCAAAGGTAAATGTGCTCCAATAAATTTATTAAACAAAATACTCAAGTGTCCCTTTCAAAGGGCTAACTATATGACACTAAAGGTATTTCACATCTTATTTATGGATGGTATAAAATGCGTTAATATTTAACTGAAAAGTGTCAATCATTAGCCTTTTGAAAGGCTATAGGCATAGCATTTCATCATAAATCATCTATTTTACCAACCCATTTAATAACAAACAACACATACAGTCCCCTTGGGCCTCTTACTGATTTTCAATACTATGTAGCAAATCGAGTCTGCTTTGTTATCAACTCAACAAATATGATTACAAACACAAATAAGATAACAATTCATTTTTTTTTACTTTTTTATTTTCAAGATAACTTGGAATGGAAGATTTCTTTGCAAGGAAAGGTTTATCGGATTGTGAAAGAAATAATGAAACAAACTAAAAATCCAAATTCAAACAAGGAAATATTGTAAATTAATCCAAATCTTACCTATTTGGCACAAGCTAACAAATACATAAAAACTGCAAAATGCCTTTTTTTTAACGTTTCTCCAATATCCATACTTGAGTTTGTAATGTTAATTTTTCGTCACGTTTTTATATAGTTTTGGACAAATTCGCAAAATTTAATATAAAGTATTGTATATTCTGTAAATAACAAATCTACTTATTGTTAATTTGAAGACATTCTCACTTATAGGTATTCATAGCTGAGGCTTTTTTTTTTTAGAATATGCTTCATTTATAGGCAAATATACTGGAAGCAATTTATATAACAAAACATAGCAAAGGTATCTGTTGTCTAGATAATAACACTAATATCTGTCATCTTTTTTGGACACACCATATATGGTCATGTCTTATACAAAAATCTTGACAAAAGTCTTGACACATCAGTTTTGGCACTCCTGTTCAAATAGATTTCCCATAACGGATGTAGATACCTTGAGAAGTTTTGGTAAAAGACTGAAAACCTTTCCTCGCAAAGCCTCCTTACCAGATACTGCTCACACAAGTGTATGTCCCTGCTGCTTCAGAACAAGTCATCTCCAATTAGTACTGTAAAACCAAACAAGGCAACACCCATGGTTTAATGATATAATAATGGTCCTTATAAATTATCTCTCAAAATACATATAAAATTTGTCCTGTATGTAGCTAGCATTATTTACAATGAGAGCATTTTAATGCGAAAACATGATGGAAAATAAACATTGGGAATGTTTCTTTCTCTTGTTTTCTTCAACAACTAAAAGATTTTTTTAAATATTAATTAATTCACACCCGAACTATACATTATATGTATATATATATGTATACATATTGATGGAAGCGAACTGTGCTTTGATATCACAGGCAAACACATATATAATTCACAGGCTGAACACTGTCGCAGGGACAATGCCTAATCCAACACCCTATCATGGTAACACAAAACGTTATATAATATTTCTACAAGTCATGCATAGTTACTCAACAAAGACAAGGAGAATGAAATGACAGCAGTTGTAAGAGAAACACAAGTTCAAAATTTTTAAACAATGTTTTTATCTACTTTTGCAGTTTCAAAGTGTTTCTCAACAGGGTCCGCAAAACTTATCATAAAAATCATGGAGAAACATCACAAACTGAAAGTGCCTACTGACCATTCAGCGAAGGATGTAGTCATCAGATTGAACCCACCAATAGATATTACAAAGGATTCTAAAACAATGTTGACTACAGTAAAATTCCTCTTTTTTGATTTGATGTAAGTGAAAAAGATGTAGGTCAGCAGTTCAGATAAAAGGTACTTATCCTGTGTCAGAAGGCTTCTCTTGGAGGTACTGATAAAAAAATCAGCTGTTTATATTGAAAATAATAGAAGATGGATTTTACTCTCAGACTGGTAAACCATAAGATGGATTTTACTCTCAGACTGGTAAACCATAAGATGGATTTTACTCTCAGACTGGTAAACCATCAGATGGATTTTTCTCTCAGAATGGTAAACCATAAGATGTTGAAGTAAAAACCAAACGAAGACAAAGGTGAAATGGTGTCAGATTAGACAGTTTGATAACATAATACAAACATCTATTAAAAAAGGTTTACACACATATATATGTTTTATCATTGTATATGGTAGAACTTGCATGAATTGGCACCAGTAGTGACAAAAATACCCAAAATAATGAAACAAATTCCTTATCTAACGCATTCAAAAGAAATCTTTCTACTTTCATGTTGTTTGTTTGTACACAAAGTGTAACTTCACCACTTCAGTGATGCCAAAGGAGACATGCCGATATCTTGGAAAAAAAAATCCAATGGGAAACCTGAAGTACTGGATCACAGCATTCCAGTGTCTATCGTTCAATTATCTACTATGAGACGAAGAGGATAGGCAGACACCTCGTCCAAAACTATTTACACGAATCACGATTAGTTGTGGCATAAAATCATAAAAATAAAGATAACAAAAAAGGTTTTTATAGTTTTAGAAGTATATGACAGCTAGGGTTGTCCATGGTGACAAACTGTGCATCATTTTGAACTGTCTCACATACATCACTGAACAGAAGTTGATTCCTTGTGAAATGGTTTTGAAAAGGAGTTTTATCCATTCTAATTTTATATGAAAAAAAACCCACCATTATCCAACTTAAAATCCGGTTTTAACTTACTCTTAGAAGATTCAATTTGTTCTAAATTTCCTATTTTATAGGGAATATTACATACAGTTTTTGTATCACTGTGATAATTTAACATTTACACAAAGAAATTCCGGTTTGCACACTACTGAATTTGCAGCTTTAAGTTGGATCGGTATGCAGTGCTAATATTTCTACTAATAAGTCATCTTGGCATTGAATTGAACATACAATGAAAATATCACTGCCCCAAAAACACTTTGTATACAGTATAATGATATCTTTTCTGACGGTCATTAACTTATTTATAGACTAGCAACAGTTGTCATTAATTTTCAAATTAATTGAAATCATAGTAAATGAAAGAAAGCATAATGATTGAGATTTAGTTTCAGCATCATTTTGAAATGGTTTGTCAAATTTAAAAAAAAAAAAAAACCTCATGAAGTGTGTTAAAAATAAGCATGTCTGGTAAAAGAATTACCTTGAATTATATTAATTGCACATTGAATACAAAACGATATAACACTAACTGATGTCTGATAAATGAAATGCTGGTCATGTGCAAAATCAAGAAGTCTTGAATACCACAATATGCATATCTTAATTATACACCACATCACTTTTAAACTGACGAAGTTGGTGAATTAAATCTGTCACTTTCCTAAAATTATTGAAATACTATCCCATTTCAATAAGATACTGTAAAAGGGAAACAATTTTGTGGGGCAGTTTCTTTGAAACTATCAATTTTTTATGGTATGAAATTTTCGATATTTTTTTTGTTAATTATATCAGTAATAAGCCAGTTTCCATACCTAAAAATATTTATACCATATGCATGAGTCTTGTATCAAATAAGAACTCGGAAAATACAACCAACAAAAAAAAAGATCAGCTCACAAAAATAATAACTGTTACAGTAGACAATGTTTTCTCTATAAAACAATTTCATCAGATTTGATTTGTCAACAATCAAAACAATTGTATGTATGATACAAAATATATTCTTATCACACATGTTAACAATAATGTAAGACAGCAGTCAATGTTTAAACACAAATCAGCAGTGAAGCCCATACATTTCTTAAGTTCTCTTAAAACACTGACTATTTTACCTAGGTATACTACAAAGCCATCAACTTAACATTTTTTTAAAAAACGTTTCACTTATTGTGATCCAAGGGCATCGTGTTATTAATAACATATGGGATATGAACATGTATATCGAGAAAAAAAAACAAAAACAAAAAAAAAAAACGATAATCATTAAAGTCAAAAGTCAATTTTTCATCAACCACTTGGCTACTGAATTGGTTTTAGTGCAAAACTATTCACTACAGGTAGGATTAAAAATATCTGACTCTACCACAATCCAAATTATATTTAAATGTTGTGATATGTTTCATCAAAATCTAAAATCACACAGCAACAAATTTGTCTGATAATTTTATTTGGCAAGAATATATTTCGTGACAAAAATTGATGTTGATGTTGATGTCAATTAAATTTCAATGAAATTTCAACCAGCCTAAACATTCAACCAGATTGAGACTTGTACATATCAGAAGTTTTTCAGTGAACGTTGTTGGCACTTCGGATCAATAAAAACTACTGTCAAAACTGTGTAAAATGGTGAGACAATTACGTTGACTCGGGTACCTTTCTAAATCAAGTGGGAAAAAAGTAGGAATCAAAAGAAATTGTTGTTTGAATGGTAAGTTTTATCATTTGACTTCCTGTTGTTACATGAAGCTGTAATTAATTTGTTTACTTATTGATTTTAATTGCCCATAGTAATTCATTTACTGAAGTCTCAATGTTAGCAAGGGGGACAATAGAAATAACACTGGCTTTTAAGAGATTCAATGTTTTAGCTAGCACTTTTTTATCAACATGTTTAATATAAGTACTTTAACAAAACCTGAGCTCTGAAGAACCTGATCAGCAAGAAAAGACCAGATGTAACTATGGACGGATAATACATATATGCCACATTATAATTTTTTGAATACAAGATACATAATCGACCACTCAATAATCTATTAATTGGACGGAGTATGGTCACACATGAATCAATTATCTGTAAATCTTGTTCTTTTTTCCAGATACGTTCATTCACATAAGGGTATGTGCTACTTGAATATGTACCTCCTTTTAAAAAGAGTTCCCTCCTTGAAAACCTGTAATAGATCTTTAATCTGGTCATATTATTTCTGAATTTGTGAATTGATGACATATTTTAAAAAGCTCAGCAAAATTGTGTGCATTTATTGATACACACCCTTAGTTAAACATGTTAAAGGGACATAACTGATAAAATATGTTAAAGGGAGATAACTCTTAACGAATTGGTTGTTCAAAGGGTAAAGAATCATTGAACTTTTTTGAAATTTATTCCATATATCCAATACATTTGGAAAGGTTATTTCCACAACCAAAGTGCTTTTATTTATCACATAATGCACTGTGTTATCAAATGAATATTAATCCATGTAATATGACCTATCAGCCCTGTGATTGGTTGTAAGTTTCAATTGTTTCAATTCTGACATCACGCCTAGGACAAGTACCTGACGTCACAGACTTACGCAATGGAGTCAAAATGGTGGCTTTTACATTTCAAGGTTGCATGAAAATTGTCGTTTTACACGAATAAATGCCACAAATCTTGATCATGTGATAAAAAGGATCTTACACTCGTTTTCTTTTCATATGAAATTTATGAAACTTGTCATAATTTTTTCATTTTAGCTCACCAAAGGCTCGCTAAATTGAAAAATTCATAGACTCGTTTCATAAATCTTATATGAAATGGAAACTCATGTAAGATCCTATATATATATATACAATAGTAGACAACAATGTTTTCCATAACAATTCAAAGCCTAAGGTAAAGGTGCCTTTATACCAGACATACTGAAGACGGGTATATCTTAGGTACTCAACGGCTTGAAATAAACACACACTTTTGTTTGATTCAGGTACTGATGTTTCAGTGTACCAATTTTTAATGGAATGTAAGTCATTCCTATTACAATTCTGTTCTAGGCTGTTCTGTCTAGCTAAAGAACAAACCATGGAGACATAATGATATAGTTTGCATAGGTAGTAACAACCGTAGAGCAATTGGATGAACACTAGTATACAAACAGCTCACACAATACACCATCCCACCCGTACTACACCATCCCACCCGTACTACACCATCCTACCCATACTACACCATCCCACCCGTACTACACCATCCCACCCGTACTACACCATCCGACGGGAGGAATGGTCACCATTCAATCATACACCATACACGAGACAGTGATTCCAATATTAGAGATACAGCTTTGATACAAATAAACTTATAAATCTTGTTCAGCCTACCAATCCATATACAATTATTGATAGTGTTCCTGTTGTCAATCTTTTATCCTAAATGTTCCAAGTACACATTTCTTTGCTGTTAGAATATTTCCCATATCAAAATATAACTTTTATTCACTTGCAGAGAAAAAACAATTCTGAGGTACGTTCTGTCAGAATATTGAGTAAGTCAGCAGTAATAAGCTAAGTCACAGTATATAAACAAATGACAAAATAAAAGTTTTATGTTTGACAAATGGGGAAAAAATGTAGAAAATAATCAAATTTCCGATTGAACACTCAATATCAATATGAATATAAATCTCTGTTTCTTTTTCTTTCAATACAATCATGTCATAACCTAAAATATTCAAATTAAAAAATACATAATTGAAAGCCATTTTATTTCATATAAGGAGTTATAAATACAGTAATAATATTATCATTTCAAAATGTAATGTCAACAAAATTGAAGAATAATAAGGTGTTGGTTTGAGTGTAGGGTAATAGATAAATTTCTTGAAATTTTACTTTCTATTTTTTTAATCCAGATTTTAGGAAAACATCGCTTTTAAAAATCTTCACAGAAAGTATGACACCTCATGATAGGAGGTTAGACTTTACTATCTAATATCTAAGGACATACTTTTTTAAATTAAACAAAAAATAGTTATAATACAACCAAAATGTTTGAGCAGTCACTCTTGTCGAATTGGTCATTAGCTTGTAGAAATACATGACAAAAGGCACAGTCAATAATAATAATAATAATAGAAAAAATAAGGATTAAATAAAGTAGAACTGAATACGCAGAAACAGTTTAGTTTGGCACAAGATCAGCAGGCAAATCATCAAAAGGAAAACAGTTCCCAAAGTGGATCTTGCATATTTTTTGGTTTGTTGATATGTTCTCTAAATCAAAAGATTTTACAGAAGAGAATCTTCTTCTTCAAAAACCACCAATTATGTTTTGTTCATAAAAGAGAATATTGTTCTAAACAAATATATTAAATGCAAAAAAATGCAAATCTAGCTACATTTTTATTTATTTTTTTACATTTTGAATCTTGGAATGATGCTTAACAACGGCACTTCAGAAACAATTTGTAAATAATACTCTGTCACAATAACATATATTTCCATGGAATGAATAAAACAAATGAAAGGAGTTGAACTGGACATCAAGACAATGAAACACAAACTTCAGCTTGTGCAAGCATAAAATGAGAAAAGAAAAAAATACATGGATCCTAGCACATGTCTATAAAGTTGGCCAGTCAATTGGTTTTGTTCTAACTTCACATCCAGTGTCCTTTAACAAAAAAATAATCAAAACACAGCCATTCATTTCATTCATACAACCTCCAAATGCTCTACATGAAACATGGGCGACCGACAAACTTTCGGTAAGCCGTAAAAACACATTAAATTGTATCCTAGTCTTCGTGTGTGTTTTAACCGTCCATGAAGGATATGAATCGCAATGCCTGATGATCTAGATGAACCAGACTATTTTCTGGTCCCTCTCCCCCTGGGAGCTGCTTGTCCAGCCCCTGTCCTGCCGCTATTGGCAACACCTTTTGTGGTGGGTGTGTTCGAGGTTTTTTGAAGAGAGGGGGACTTGGCTCCCGACCCCACAGAATTCCGTGACCCCGGGGTGAGTAAAGGTTTGCTTGGGTTCAAGGATTGACTGTTCGGTCGACTTGAGTTGGATACCTATAGAACCGATAAGTTGATACAGTAAAACAATGTACAAACAACCATTAACAACCACATGAAATTGGTTAATCATGGCAAGCAGTGGTATACCAAAACAATAGGCAACCGTACGTATTTAAACAATTACATCCACAGACTGAGTGAACTTTGTGTTGTATGAATAACATTCAAAATATATTTTCTTTGTGTTTGTATTCTCATATTAGTTTTTTCCTACACTTTTATAAAAACGAAAAGCTCCATTTATTCCCAAGACTTGATGTTACTCTCTGCTGAGAAGGAAGAGCTTAACGTTTATTCAGTAAAACAATACTGACCAATCACAGGAGAGCCAGTAACATGATGAATAAGTAAGAAGATATGAATTATTTTCCTACAGCCAATGATAAGACACTGGACAAAGACATAGACATTGGATAAAACACTTACAGGCTTACTGCCCCCTCCACACTTCTTTGTTCCACCAGATCCTTTCCTAGACTGCACATCCTGTGTTGTCTGGAGAAGCAAATTAATCACATAAATTTTTATGTAATAGGATTCATAAAAAGATATCAACTGGAAACCTGATTAAGGCAGGAATCAGAATGATCTAGGCAGCCTGATCAGTGGTGCTTGTGATCCCAAGCACGAGATATTCTTTCATATTTTCTTTAATAAATCAACACACAGATATTTATTTTATATCAATTAAAAAAAAAAAAAATGCTTTTTTTTCTTTTTTTTCTTTTTATATATTTTCTATTCAATGATGGCCTTGAAGCAGACCAACAGCAGAAATTTTGTGAAAAAAGCTGAATCTACAATCTGTCTCCATAAATCCATAAATATGCTAGAATCAATCTACCGAATACCAAGAATTTGACTTGAAGTGACTCACCTTGCCGTTGGCCTTATTTGAACTGCTCTGTGGTGCGGATTCTGGGATGACTGGACTGGTTCTATCTCCGTCTGTTTCGTCTGCCGTATCGGGGGTTCCGTCACCGTTTATTGCACTGTTTTGTCCCTCCTGTACCTTCAGTTCATCCTTCCACATCTTCATCATCTCCAGGACATTGTGGTGGTTACCCTCACTCACGTTTCCCTGTCAATCATATCCAACGTAACATATGTCAGGCACATTTCAGATAAACCTCCTCCTTATGAAGTCTGAGACTGTGAGTCTACCCTACAATATACTGTCTTAAGAAACATTTATTTAAATGGAATAAAGTTTCTTAAGACAGTACGTATTCAAATGAACTTTGCAAGGCATCCCAATTTTAAAGAGTATCCTGACATATCCCCGTGCAAAAGCCGACCAAGTAGTAGCGAAGTGGTCCATTATCAGCACTGCATTGAACATTGATTAATTGAATTTAAATTCATATTTTGCTCATTCTTAATATCGATGTTAATCATATCTAGAATTATTTACTACCTAAAAATAAGAACGCAAGCAGTTGTTATTGTACAGGAAAAAGAAACAAAATGAAAAAGAAGATACAGAATTCATTAGTATGCGAGACAATATGAAATACAATGTAATAATTGTCATGTACTCCACTGTATACTAACATGTGAACAATCAAAAATAAAATATGATAAAAAAAAATTAAAAAAATTTAAAGAGTGTCATTTTTGTTTATTCCAACTTGAGTAAAGTTTTCTGACTAGGACTCAGAATCATTTCTAAGCACGGTAAAACCTTGCTACTATTTGTCCATCAAAATCTTCCCATTTAAAATGGGTTTTACCTGTACAATGTATACATTTTAAAGAGATATATAAAAAGGAATTGTTTGTAACAAGGAACAAGAGGCCCAAGGGCCTTAGCGGTCACCTGAGTTATATCATAGATACTGGTAGCTTTATTTTATTGTNTTAAAGAGTGTCATTTTTGTATATTCCAACTTGAGTAAAGTTTTCTGACTAGGACTCAGAATCATTTCTAAGCACAGTAAAACCTTGCTACTATTTGTCCATCAAAATCTTCCCATTTAAAATGGGTTTTACCTGTACAATGTATACATTTTAAAGAGATATATAAAAAGGAATTGTTTGTAACAAGGAAAAATGGGACATTGAAATATGCTGACTGTAAGCACGGATCCAAATGAAACAAGGCATTATCATGTTTAAAAAGTTATATGGAAACATGAAAAGCACACAACAATTTTGAATTACCCTGCATGTGAATTGCCACTTGTACAATAACGCAATTCACAGCATTTAACACAGACAGCAGCATACATACACAAACTGTCAGTATACTTACAGTTATCCAGGGATGATATAGCACCTCACTGGCTGTTTTTCTGTGAGCTGGGTCTACTTTCAGCATACCCCTTATACAGTCCTGGGCTATAATGACAATTAAACCTATGGTTAAACAGACTTTTACACAAACATATATATATATGTTTTCAATAAGATTCATCAGTTTGGAAATATGTAATATTAAAGTCTTACTTTCTACACAAACAATTTATGTATTTAACGTGTCGCAGCGTTTCACGAGCGACTGGTCCCTTTGTCAAGCTACGACTGATAAGTGAGCAATGTGTAACAGTCCTAACTTGACAAAGGAACCAATCATTTTTGAAACGTTGCGACACTTTCAATACGTACACTTTTTGTGTAGAAATTAAATCTTTAATAAGATATTATAAGTATATATGTTTTTTGTGATTTCTGAGAGATGGTCCTTGGAACATTGACAGATTGAAAATCAAAATATTGACAGATTGAAAATGTATTACGGTATCAGTTTATATAAAAAAAACATCAATTACAGCATGTATGCTGACAACAAAATCATGATGCTGCGGTGGTTCCATAATCCTGTCATCATGTATAGTATGATTTCCAAGTGGGATTCTTTGATGGTCCTAGTGACCAGAGACAGTATCAATTGCCAGTAGGGCTGGGACAGGGATATTTGTTAGATTTTGTTTAACTTTAATAGATTTTGTCCAATATGTAAAATATATTTAAATTCATTTAAATTTGTAGCATTTTGTCCAATATGTTTTTAGTGTTTTATTCAATTGAGGGTCACAGATCATCAAAGTGGGGTTTGTGTTTAGACTACAAATTTAGAAAACATACTTGAAATTTGAAATGATAAATCGATATCAATGATATAATAAATCACAAAGTTCATATTTAAAATCTAACTCCAAATCACTGATAAAGAATTCAAAATGTTGGTTTCTAAAAGTCAGGTTTGTTATTGCAAAATCTGGGTGTTTTATCAGACAATGATTATTAACTTGTAACAAAAATGACTGTTGTAGTGCAAAATGTGTTAAATCAAGGTAGTTGTAAAACCTATGAACTGCCATTAAAAATAAGTACACTTTGATGTGTCTGTACACATACCTTCCTCACTAATGCCCTGCCATACTTCGCCTGAGAAATCAATCTCCCCTCGCTTAATCATATCATATAGCGTGTCCTCGTCTTTAGATCGGAATGGTGGGGAGCCACACAATCTATCAAAGGGAGGAAACAATTTACAAATCAGGAAACAAGTTACAAATCAATGTACCGGTAACAATAAGATACCCTGTTTACATACTCATGTTGTAGCAAAGTAAAAAAAAGTAAAAAAATAAATCAACCATGAATGCTTTAAAATTTTGAATACATTACAAATTTGTTACAAAAATCCTCCAGTGTTTGTGAAGCCATTATTTTTTTATGTTTGAACTTGCACAAACTAGTGAAAGTAATTTTACATATTTATACACAGGCAGCTGATCACATGACAAATTGAACAGAAATGTCATACACTGTAGTGAAGTAAATTTAGTCAACTTTAAAAAAGTGTTAAAAAACATTCTTTGAGAATATTTTTCATTTGATACAGTCCAAAATATGCAACAAAGTACAATATGAATAAGAATAAGATTTTTGAGAAATATTGAGCCACATTATCAAGCTACACTTAATCTCTTGGTACATGTATAAAACTAAAATTATAAATTTGAAGAGTTTTTTTTACATATCAAGCTTTTTCCATACCAGCAAAACGAAATGATAAAAATTACTGTACCATAATCTTTATAATACATGTACATATATACATACACTATAACACCTATGAACACACTGCTGATGAAGTCTTATCAAAGTACAACCCATAACAATCTCAGTGAACTTTGTTAAAGCACGAGTCCAATACTTACAATATATACACTATAACACCCATGGCCCATATATCACACTGCTGGCTGTAGGTTTTATTATCTATTATTTCTGGAGCTGTAATCAAAAATACAAGGACATAAAAAATACAGGCAAATAAACACAAGTTAATTATTTGGTCTTTAGTACAAAATCTTTTGATAAAGATATAAACTATCATAAGGCATCTATTCATACTACTAATCGTGTAAAACCGAAAATGTACAGGAAATCCAATAAACATGTCTAAACAAGAAATCATAGAGGTTTATGTCAGGTAATCAAATCTACACACAAGAGTTGGCCAGTTTTAATTAAAATTAGTTTTTTTTTTAATTTAACAATAATTAATTAAACACTATTTATAAAAGTCCTTGTTCCACTGTTGGCAATATACTAAAGAGTATTAGGACAATTGACTGGTCCGGGGAATTACTGTTGATCAGGTGGCTAATTAGTTGGTTAAAGTGTCAGATCATCTCGTGATTGGAGGCATATGGTTCAAATACCAGTCTGGTTCATTGCATTTTCAATCTCAGAAAACTGTTGTGACTCTTTTTATTTTTTTTATTTATTATTTTTTAGGTGAAAGTTCTGCTATATCTGGGTTTCTGATCAAAGTGTCCAAGTACATAGTTACAGTGTGTAGCAGTGGAACAGGGATCCTTTAAAAGGCATGAAATGTAGAAAATGTGTGCATATACACACACACATCATACATGTTCACACATGACTCTCTGAACTTTAGACAGACACTCTACCAATTGAGCTACCTGGTCGTCGACAATCGACCCAGTCTTGTTCCACTACACTCCTCCCTCCTTTTTTTTAAGTATTTGCCCCTGAAGACACAACTGTTACAACCCAGGTTTAGGTATACCCTTGCTAAGCATACTCCCAATGCTTGAAACATGGGTTGGCAAGCTCGCCAATTTTGTAACAGGAGAAAGAGAAATGCAATGGCCAGACCAGAGTTCGAACCTGGGACTCTCCGAACTGTCTATAAGGACGCTCTACCAATTGAGCTACCTGCAGGTCACCGACGATCGACCCAGTCCAGTTCCGCTACATTTATATACTGTTGTACATACACATGTATATTGTTATACTTACAATGTAAGTTACATATGTATATTGTTGTACATACACATGTATATTGTTGTACTTACACATGTACAATGTTATACTTACACATGTACAATATTATACTTACACATGTATATTGTTGTACTTATACACATGTACAATATTATACTTACACATGTATATTGTTGTACTTACACATGTATATTGGAGTTCCACAGAAATCCTGCATCATGTTGTCCTGTCCGACACCTCCTTTTTCTACTGACAGTCCAAAGTCTGTTACCTATGGAAATATCAATCAAAGGAACATGATGAGGAAACGTTTTGGCAGATTTGTAATATCACTTCAATTAGGAACATAATTACACAATGAAATGACAAATATTTAAGTAATGTAGACTCTTAATTATTTTTGACATAATTACAAATTGTGTCTTATCTTGAGCACCCAAAGAACAAAATGCATACAAAATAACACCACTGCAGCAATATAATGTCCTACACCTGGTAGATTTATCTCCCCTTTCACATACATAGGCAACAGTGTTATAAATCTTAAATAGAAAAAGCTGATTGTAGCTCAACCATATATCCTTTCAAGACTGTTTGTGGCCCTACATATAAGATGAGTTTTGAAACTCTTCCCAAAGTTCTCTTTTTATTTTGATAAAGTCTGCTCAAACAGAACTTATAAAATTTTAGTAATCTCATATGAAATGGAAATATGTGACATAAAGCAGAAAGTCTATTTCATCAACATACAAACATATGTCTATTTCCTCCTTTAAAAAAGATTGGTTTCTTCAGAACATGCACACAGTTGTACTAATACAATGAGTATGCATACTTTAAGAACATGTAAATCATTTCTAAATAACGGTATCTATTTATATATTCTGACTAAGTCTGAACAGATGCTTGTCTTTCACAACCATAGTATTGAGTAATTACTTAACCTAGTCAGGTTAGCTGGAATGCAGCATCCCTGTTATTTGCATGTACCTGATTCCCCTGGAATCATTAACCCAGAATGCAGTTAGCCATTTGTGTAGCTGGGTAGACTAGAACAGATATCATGAGATGCAACAAATGTGATACAAGTGTTAGATGGTCAAACCTGCTAACTTTTGTTAATGACATTAACAGCCTACCATGTCACGTTTTTATCACTTGACTGCATTAAGACCAACCTTTATATGTAGTTTGTCATCTGGGTCGTCTGGATTCTGACTCAGTAAAATATTTTCCAGCTTCAAATCTCGATGTACTATATCTGCAGGAAACAAGAAAAAGACATGCTTGTAGACAACTTTCTAATTGATTAAGACTTAGTCGAAACTTTCACAAAAAATAAATTTTGAAATATTGCAACAATACGCAAAGACTTGTAAAATATTGATCAATTAATTGTAGAAAATTCATACATGTATACATACATGTACAAAAGGTTTGTTCCAACAATTTGAATCTTGAATTTCGAAAGAGAAAATGACTAGAATTATATCCCCAGTGGGTTTTTTCCCCTGGAGGAAGGAAGGGATGTTAAAAAATAATTTAAAAAAACCATGATACAGTTAGAAGGTAAAAAGGTTCCTCACCATTTTTATGTAGGTACTTGATTGCACTAGCCATCTTTTTCACTATAACCTTGGTGTCGGCCTCAGTATATTTTTTCTTTTCCTTAAGGGCGTCGGCCAACTCTCCGCCCTCACATAGCTCCATCACCAGATACATTTTCTGTACACACAAAAATTCAGTGTTTCATATTTGTAAATCTTGCTTCACTTTTCAGACGTATACTAGGATGCAGAATTTTTTACAAAAAAAACCCATATATCTATATATATCCCTTGTTAATTGTGTGCTAATCTCTTTGGGATCATTCTGAAAGGATGTGTGGAGTGTTACAGAGAAGACATTCATTCATTCATCTCAAAGAAATTTATTTTTCTATGAGTTAAACATATTACAAAGTTTTATTTTCTACCACCTTTCACATTTTCTGAGAACAAAGAGAAAAAAAGTTTTCCAACTTTAACAAAGAGGCACATTGGACCTGTATCACTTAACTGTTTTTAGTGTTATCTGAATTAGACCAGATGTTAAATTGTTTCTGATAACTTTCAATGATCTACTCAGATTTTCTATTGATCCAAATAGTAACATTAGGTATTGAGGTTAATGGCATATACAAAATGTAGGAAAATATATGCAATTTTATCTTTTTTTTTTATATGCAAAAAAAACCATTAATAATCATTATCTAAAAGAAATCTATTCATTATTTCAATTGCTTTAAATTACAAATTAATGTGTTCAGGTTCAGCCGTATTCTCGAGGTAGAGAATTTTTGTATAATATTGACCTAAAACATTGTTGAAATGAAACACTGGGAATTTTTTTTATCAAATTTTCCTAGACAGTTTGTACACAGCGAGTATTAATGTGAAAGAAAAAAATAAATGTTAGTCAGATACAAGAATCATGCCGAATGTTCAGTTAACCCTTACACCACTGTAGACCATAATGGACTCCTCCAGATCAATGAATGGTAGAGTCTACTAAAGTTACCTAGGGGTGAAAGGGTTAATACTGGCATACACTTATATATAATACTATGAGTACAAGAAAATCTATAAACAACCGCAATGAATTATTCCAATGGAGTATATTTTCAGATTACAACACAGTTCCCAATGCGGATTCCAACAACTGATTCGGACCTTGTTGCTTAGCAGTCCGCATAAAAACAGCTGGATGTTTCTTAATTCAAACCTTTGTTACAACTAGCTAGCTTGACTACATGAAAGTCTGAGCACACCCTTCTGCGAGACTTGTGGGTTTTGGCCTCAGCAACTAGTACAGAATCAATTTTTGAATTATTTATCAACACACATCTTTCAATACGTGAGAATGTAGCAAGCTTGCAGCTGCCACTCCTCCAGATTTACAATGGATATGTGGCATGTGCAGGATAATTCATATGTATTGATCTGTCTGAATGCATTGTCACATTATATTCATGTCATTAAATGAGCAATGTCCAACAGGCAGAGATACAGTTTTATTTATTACATGATACTGTTGAACCTAATGTCACTTAAAATAAGTAATTGTTTATTATCAATATCTGGATCACAAGTGTTTTCAAACTTTCAAATCAAGAAGGATCTCAAAATTTCAAAATATGCACGATTCCCGCTGATTTTCAGCAATATCTCATGACTTGGAATACATAAAAAAAAATGGGTTATTTTTTTAGTATAAAAAAAATCAGAAGTTCTTAATTTTCCTTCAAATATTACCAATGAAAGAAAATATCCTACAGATAAATGCCAAAATAAAAACAAACAGTTTCAGATTCATTCTTGTCAGATATGTATTGACCTAATAATGTGAGACAAGGTAAAACCTGAGAACCCTTGATTTTAATGTATACCACCAGTCCTATGTGTGAAAAAACGTATGCGATTGTTTATGTACCGCCTTTAAGGAGTAGGTTTTGAAGTGTATATACTATCATACAGTCTGTATGCTTTATACCTCTTTTTAATGCTTTAAAAATAAAAATAAAAATACAAGTATTTTTTTAAATCAATGCTGAACAAATCTGAAAGTCAGCTGGTAGCCATCTTGAACAAGTGACGTTTATCTTTTCAAAAGCATTACAAACTACAAAAGTTTCAACTGTTTTCAGTATTGGCCTAGTAACCATGACTTACTGTATACCACAACATTTTTGCTGCAGTACAACTTAGGCCTTTTTCGCCTTCCCCCATGCAGTTAAAGTGAATTTATTACTACAGCAAATGTTACCATAGACTAATTAAGTACATAGCATGCAAAATAAAATGTAATAGAACGAGGAATAGTGATAAAGAGAATTCCATCGCTGGGGCTCGAACCTGCGACCCTTCGCTCTACAGCCTGATGCTCTACCGCTGAGCTTAAGGGAAATTCCCTACATACAGCTGACGCTTGTAAGGCAACCTAATCAATGCACATCTTTCACACTGTTCCCCCCTTTTTTCTTAACACCACCCAGGTTCTTTGACTCCCGGCTAAGGGTTCTCCTACCTTGAACGGGCAGGGTCAATGGCACCAGTTTGTAGTTCAATGGCACCAGTTTGTAGTAGGCATGGAATAGTGATAAAGATAGTGCCGGTGGTGGGGCTCGAACCCACGACCTTCGGCTCTCCAGCCCGATGCTGGACCACAGAGCTTAAGGGAAGTTCCCTACAGCTGACGCTTGTTAGGCAATCTAATCAATGCACACCTTTTACAAAAGTAGTCAGGGTTAGACACTAACTTGTTTTGCTTGGTAGTCCACAGGACTAGTTGAATAGATTATTTACTAGTCCTTCTTCAATGTAACTAGTCAAAGATTTCCTGATAAGGTAACATTGCGATCTACAGCACGAAACATCTAAAGCAATTGACTGTAGGGGACTAAAAATAACTTCATGTATTGCCATAGAAATATGGATTTAGGAAAATTTTGACAATTTTCATGCAATATATCTTATTTTAAGTATTTTTCTTAATTTTAAAAAGGAATGTCTTTATTTTATAATCATATTTTTCACAAGTCCAAAGGACCAGTTAGGTTAGGTGTTTCACTAGTCCTTGCTGAAATCTACTAGTCCAGGACTAGTGTTAGTGTCGACTCCTGGTAATTACTTGTAAAGGGTAAGATTAACACTGGGCCAACTAGGATTTTATCGGTAAAGGGCAGATAATTTGACTGGGCGAAAGTTTCCTGGTATAGTGTTTAACCCTTTCACCACTGCTGACCATAATGGACTCATCCAGATCAATGCATGGTAGAATCTACTAAAGTTACATAGGGGTGAAAGGGTTAATCAAAGTAAATTTTATATTTTCAAGGGTAACATAACTCTTACACGAAACAAATCAATGAGAAAGGCAGGATACCTTATGGCCCTGTTTATAAAGCCAACTCAAGTTGACCCCTGGTAGCATCAATAATCTAATAGCACTGCCTGGTGTTTCAATGCTTTGTAACCTTCTAAATATTCTAAATTCATTTTTGGATTCTTACTTTTCCTGTTTCAAATACTTCATTGAGACTGATGATGTTTTCGTGCGAGACTTTCTTCAGAATGGTTACTTCTCTTTCTAACAACGTAACAGCTGAATGACCCGCCTGTAATGAAATGAATTATAATTGTCATAAAATTATATCAGAGACGATAAAAAAACTTCTGTGATATTGGTAAGTTGGAAATGGTATGTACTGTGGTTAATGAATTTATGCAAAAGATTGATATTAAAGTGTGTTTTTCAATGGTATAGGAATGAATAGATCAACATTTAAGTTGAATTCAAAATAAATCCCAATTACACTACAATCTGCAAGGTCTGTCTCTACTGTTTATACCTGAGCTTTGATATGCGGTCCTCCCTTGCATTTTGTTAAATCTAAAATCTAAACCAGACTCCATATAACTGGGCACATTTACCATTGTCCAATTTAAATAGGTTATACTGCAGTAGAGAATTGCATGAACATATCAACAAAAAAATGAGGAATATTGACAGAAAACGATATGATTTTCTTTATCAATAAACATACCTTTTCCCTGTTGACTACTTTCATAGCCCAATATTCCCCAGATGACTTGTGCTTTACTTTGAACACTTTGCCGAACGTTCCCTCTCCAATCTGTATACCTGGGTCGTAGCTCTCCCAGATCCATGACTCGTCATCAATGCGAGTGTGACGAGGGACTGTTTTTTCTGCACTCCCTTTCCGTGCCATCACAACCACTAGGCATTTACGGCCCTGCGAAATACAAAAATTGCAGTTTGTCAATTTTCAAAAATTAGCTCATAAATATGTAGTCCACCTCATTAAGTAAAATCACAAAGCGCTTTGTTTTATTTACGGAAAGAAAACAATTTCTATGTTGTTTTGTACTCAAAATCAGTCAAATTATCCATATCTATGGGCCAACAGTATCTGTAACTGTTATAACAACTGGGTTACATTATAATAATATATCAAAGATTTTACATACTACTACACCCATACACTCAGTTACTTCTTCACCCTCAATATCTCCTGTCATACCGATTTATATAATACCACAAACACATACCATGAGTAACATAAACAATGTTCAAAGTCCTGATTTGTAAGTCCAATATACGGGAAATGATCCTTCATAATGCCAGAATTGAAGTCAAAACACACCAATACCAACCAGCAAAGCAAGTACTGTAGCATACTCTAGGACTCGCAGCTGACATAAAATTGTATAATTGTTAAGTGTATGTAATATAACCTTATGACAATACTTACAGCTGACATAAAATTGTATTATTCTATAAGTCTATGCAATATAAACCTATGACAATATAATTCTAATCGTCTTCTTCATGTGGCTTATATAAATACTGTAATGATAAAGTATCAAAACAATGTAAACTGAGAAAAAAATACGAAAAAGTTTCATAAAATATATAAAATCTAAAAGTGAAAGGTGGTGTTACTTTCTACATTATTAACCTTTTAGAAGTTCATTAAGGAGCGAGATAAACCAGGTGTCGTAGATTACACATTGTTAATTAAAAGTATTGACCAGCAGGGGCCATTGGACACTGCATGGGTATGTACGTAGCACCAGATAACCAATACCTGATTTGATACAGGATTACAGTTCTAACCTGTATCACTCAAACCTAATTAGCAATTTAGTGTATCAAGGTATTCCCGATGTCCTTCAGTCTACGGCCCTACCCTGTACTAGCCTGTACAAATCACAGAACGATCGTTACCCACACCTCCATCACACACACACACAGACGTACGCCATTAGTAATTAAGGGTCAATGAAAAACAATATCTCCACATGATGGATGTATCATTACAAACCTACTCTAGTTGACGAAGGCAACCAAGTAATTCATAGCTTCATCATGATCAACAACATCAGCATGTAAAAATCATTAACATAACCAAAACCTTGTTATAAATTCATCAATTTGTATTGGATATTTTTTTTACTATATATATAGAGAGATTTCAGGGATTAACCATTATCTCCATATACATGTATAAGTTAATTTCCAACATTTTTTTATTTTTTTTAAAAGATAACTAGGCTGTTTGGTTTAAGTTTCTATATCAAACATCAGGTAAACTGCAGGTATGGACAGATCTATGTATGTATCACAGGTAGATCACTCATCCGTGTCTAATAACGGGTGAATGAAAGCAACAGTTATTAATGGAAAACCCACTAGCTCCATTCACCTTGTTATGATAAGGAAAACACTTTACTCTGCATTAAAAGTATAATGAATATTACTGGAGTTTGCTTTTGAACTTAAGATCCATAAAATATCAATTATGCTTTTTTTATCTTATTAATTAGAATACACAGACTGTGAGCTTTACGATAAAAATTCAAAGATCATTAAACAACCATTCCATAAATGTATTTATTCAAACCCCATATTAAATTGACACAAGGCCAGGATCATGTATTGATTGGAACACGAGTTTTAATTGTAACTGTCAAGTTAATTCACGACGCACACCAGAACAATCCATTCACTGGGATTGTCACATCAACTCTCGACACATCAGTCAATAAACTCCTAATATAAACACCTATTAAGACGCAAGTCTCTTTTATTCTCCAGTATAAAAATAACTTCTATGAATTTGGTTCTAATTTACAATTACACATTCTCTGTGTGCCATATTGATCTTTTACCAAGTTTATAGCTCAGATCAGCAAATTCTACCAAATTATCTAACTAATATATCAGGTCAAGAGTGTTTTTATGTTGTAACAGTTGTCTACAAGTTACCCAGTACAACAGGTATGCCAGATTACGTAAAAAGGGGAACAAAATGTCGTCCTTGATATATATACAGCTAACCCTTTCATCACTGTAGGCAACAATGAACTCATCCAGATAAATGTATGGTAGAGTCTACTGAAGTTACCTAGGGGTGAAAGAGTTAACATAACCTTACCCGTACATTCAATACCTCAGATCTAGCTTTAACAAGCAAATTGTTTTATCAGAAAATATGCTATTGGACTATATTAGGAATACATTTTTTACATCCAGGTAATTCATTTGGAGATTTTTTTTTTTTCATGATGCGCAAACAAGTTCTAAAATGTTAACTATATGAATCCTTTAGATGCAGGCAAAATTGTCGCATATCATAAAGCAGGCAATGATGTCAGGCCTACAAAACTGAAAGCCAATTTTCTATGGATACACTGTAGTTATACAGTGATTTAAAACTGTCCAATCTGACACCCTGTGGGTCGTAACCTACATTGTGTATAGCACAGCTGAATGTCTGATAAGAAACAGAATGTCAAATAAGGTTTTATTGTCCAAATGAAATGATATTACAGCATTCAAATTGGTTAAGACAGGAAGGAACACTCCTCATGGGTCGAATAAGACAGGTTCTGCTGTATATTATAAAAACATTCCATCAACTTAAGTCTACTTTATATTCAGTCAACTTCATCTATAATATTACCACTAAAATATAGTTCCCAATATAATTATGCCTACTAAATATAGCTATCACACATTAAACTCTTTTTTCAGTACCCGGTATAATATCAGTGAACTCAAAGATATGGTTGTTAGCTCCTTTCAGCTTTACTCATCCGTAAATCACCCCTGAACTTTCATAATGAACTATTCCAACCTTTGAATTGGAAGAGTTCAAATGTGTCTTCAGGGGTGAATGAGTTAATGACACGTTAAACTTGAATTTAAAAGCAAAACATTTTCAGAATTAATTTATATTCAAAGTTAACTCAACTGGCTTCCATTTGGCCAAGGATTTAAAATGATCATGCTTGAACAATGTAGCGAAATATTCATTTCAAACATTTTAAGCCAATGAAGCTTGAGCATAATTTGGTCCAGGTGTGTATACAGTTCTTGTGTAACCCATTCTGTATACAACACCAAAGAGAATATATATACAAATAAATAAAACTGTCAGCTCATGCCCCTATAGAAACAGCAATAGATCTACCCTATATTCACATTTCAATGAGAAACAACAACAATATAAGCTCCACTTCTACCTGGCCAACTTTCATGACCCAGTGCCATATACATATTTACCAAGTTAGTTGGTATGGCATGTCAACCATTCAAGTGTGGATAATTCACTTTCCAATCCACTTACAAATTAGACCGTAACACACAGACATTGTACCAGATATCTTTGAGAGAGTATGTTGTCTACAATTTTGAAATAAGTCAATTTGAAATTTAAACTCGGGGACCAGGTGGTACCGTTTTTCCTGGAGTTAATCAAAGAAGAATTCCTGACCGTTAAGTAATATAATTACCAGAGGACATGTTGTAAGATCTGAAACGTGAGCTAATAACCATAAACCTAGGCTGATAACAAACATCTTATACAAATCCCTTAACATATGTTATCACAGATCAGTCAACCTGACCTAAAAACAGCTCATAATTTTATCGCAATCATCAAGTTTTTACTATTTCAACAACAGACTACTCGTACTCTTAATTAATCACCCCTTTGTAACTTTAGTAGACTGTTACTATGCACTTACCTGGATGAGTCCATTATGGCCTACAGTGGTGAAAGGGTTAAAGTAAATTTAAATGTTACCAATTTGTTTAACTACATTACTACCATTGTCAATTTTGTAAAATATTTGTAAAGTTCTTTTCAAAAGAAAAATTCCATAAAAATCACTTATTGCTATGCAATTAACAAAATTGTAGCTGATTGAAATTTGAATGTTTGAAAATGAAAATAATAGAGAAAAAAAAAAGAAAACTGTTGGGGTCCAAATCTCAGGACCTAATTTACATTGCACAGCCTTAAGCTTTACCAGATGCAAAGTTGCTATACAGGAATTATATTGAACAACATCTAAATAAGTATGACATGGGAATATATAAACATTATTTATTTTACAACAATTATGAAACAAGTTGTTTAAACTTATATTAATCACTCTTATTGGCATGGATTTTCGCATGCAGGAGTTATTAATGTGGGAGGAAACCGGAGTACCCGGAGAAAACCCACATGGTCGGGCAGGTGACCCCATACCTTTTCACGTCCGATCGGGGAATCGAACCCCGGCCGCCTTGGTGAAAGACAAGTGCACTATCCACTGCGCCACCCAACCCCCACTGGGAATATACCTAGTGAGAACACTCCTTCTGGTTTCTTCATCTTGTATAAATATAGAAGGGAGAATAATCCAAGTCAAACACACTCCAAGTGGAATGGACTTCTTCACAATTATAAATGATGTAGTGGCATGGAGCACCATATGCATGCAACAAGCACTACCTCTAGTATACACAGGAATGTACACTAATGACAATTAGTTAGAAATCCGTTTTCATATCCTGCATATACATCTTGTTATTATGAAATATCTAAGCTGAGAACAGCAAAATTATACTTCACTATTGTTTAAGTACCAAGCAAAGATTAAATTAAACCTTCATGGCCAATACAAGAGAAGTCTCCCATACTCTGTAATATTGTAAGGAGATGTTTGCCAATTTTATTTCAGTTTGGCAACTGGTAGTAAGTCAAGGCATTTAATATCAACATAAAAACTGTTATGCACACCAAGTGTTATGACTGTGAACTAGCATGTGGGTTTTTTCTGTGTCAAAGCACCAACTACTATTTCTTAGTTTGTCAGAGTACACATATGTACATATATACACTAATTAAGAGCAGTTATTTTATGAGCATTCTTGTCTCTTGAAAGTTTTTTATAATTT